AATTCATCTCGGCACCAGCAGGTGGCACGATGGTTAAGGTGCTGGACTCCCACGTGGCCGACCACAGTTTGGATCCCAGACCTGGTGGTTTGAATTCAATGCCAGGCGCGTGTGCATGCATGCCCATGATTCTGGGAAGAGAGGGAATTGTGGTGTTGCCATCACCTCTAGGGGGTAATTTCTCACTTTCCCTCTCACAGTCTCTCTCCAGAGAGCCCACGCACCCTATGGCACAAACCTGAAAAAAAAAAAAAATTAAATACACAGCCTTCTGATCCTTGGCCAAAAGAACACATAAAAATATTGGATAAACCTATTTTATAATGCAAGTGGTAAAAATGTGTATGAAATACAAACTTTAAGACCTACAACTGAGGCAAAACTCCCAGCTTTGGAAATAAATGTATAAATAAATGCATTTCCTTTCCTACCGTAAGTATACTAAATCCTGCTCAGCCTTCAACTCAGCTCAAACGTAACTTCCCTGCAGACTAAATTAAGTGCTCTTTTATGGGCTTCCATAACACTACCTTTTAAAACACTCATGGCACAGTAATTCTCCCAGAAGTGCAGATCACAAACCCCAGGAGAGCAGGAAGTATATACTCTTTGTTAAACAGTAGATCACCAAAGCGAAGCAGAATAACTGGTATTTAGGGGAACTTCTATAAATGTTGAATTACTGAATGAATAAACAGATGAATTATATCACCAGGCATCTCTGTCCTTCAGCCTCAGTAAGTCTAATATATACCTAAAACATGGAAATTATGATGGGATGAATTTCTCAGTTGTCTTCAACTATTTCAAAGCATTATATTCTCATATCGTCATTGAAAATCTACACAGATCTTCCAATTAAATAGTGATAGAATATTGGCAAAAATTAGAGCTCTGGAAAAAATCAGTCATGTTTGTTCAAAAATCAGAGACATACTTGGGAGGCTGAGGTAGGAGGATTGCAAGTGAAAGGCCAGTGTGAGCAATACTGCGAGACTCTATCTAAAAAAGCCTAGTTTTGTGGAGCCTGGCCTGTTGTCCCAGCTACACAGAGGCTGAGGCAGGAAGATCACAAAAGACAGAAATGTTGTCTTAAAAAAAAAAAAAAAAAAAATCAGGGACAGCCCAGAGAATAACAGTATCAATTTATTCTTTCTTCCATTTTTAGTGAAGCAGATACAACTAAGAAAGAGTAGCTGCTCTCTTAGTTTCCCAATTCTCTGCCCAAAATGTCAGGGTGTCAAGATAATAGTTTTGGTAACAGAACCAGCTGACCCTAAGAATCAAATGTTCAAGAACCAAAAGTGCACTACATTCATGCTGAAGTTTTTTGTTTTCCAAAAATAAGAAACTAACTTTTAATACCTTTCTTCTTCTAAAAGGTACACTACTGGCTCCATGTTCGCACTTATCCTTCAGGCTGCAATGCTGTTATTGTCATACAAGTTGAATGTGCTGTCTGAATAATAACGCTCATAGCATCTATCAGTTTATATTGAAATGTTAGCCTCAGAGGAATTCAAATAAAAGACGAATCCTTTCCTTTTTATTTAATAGGTAAATTAATTCTAAAAGAAGGCAGAGGAATTATGCGTCCTTCAAAATCCTCACTGGATCCATCCTGAGGATCCAGTGTGGACTTAAGATAAAACATAATTCCAGTGCAGCACAGAAAAAATTAAAGAGCTAAATGACAGAGTTACAAATTTGTACTACTCTTGGAGCCATCCCAAAGGAAAGGGATTAAGAATAGAGCCATAGGCACACCTGTGAATGTATGCCAAAAATAAACTACAGAATCATAATAAAAACTGACTTCCTTGGGTCTAAGGATTTATCTCTTT